TCAGGCTGCTTAGGATGAGATCTGGTATGAGTCCTTTTGGATCAGCTTGAGCGGATGGTCCCTGACTGTGCTGAAACCACGCTGCTGTGAGCAAGGGCTGTGGGAGGAGATGGGCCTGGGAGCTGGCAGAGCTGTGGCATTGTGGGGTGAGCTCAGCATGGGTGAGCACCGGGGCTTGTGCAACAGGTCACAGGATGGACAGCAGCCCCAGTGGGGCTGGGAGCCCAGGTTGCATTAAAACCACGTGGCCTGGTGTGTGCGGGCCAGGGTTGCCTGCTTGCTGGACCTCCCAGGAGTCAAGGACCCCAGGCAGGGTGATGTGGGGCAGGTTCAAAGCGCAAGGGGTGAAGTTAGCTGGGGGCCGCTTGTCACAAGATCCCAGCTGATATCACCCCACGAGGGCTCAGCAACGCTTTGCCAAACAGCTGTAGAAACCCCTGGGGGCTCCTGGGGCAATGCCACCTCCTCTGGCCAGAGCTGTGCTTGCCAGCAGCAACACTGCTGTGGGAAGTGCCACATACTGCTGCTTTTTCCTGCAGAGCTGTGTTCAGCTACAGCCTTCAGTGAGAAATTGGAAAACCGTTTAAGCTTGAAGACGACTTTGCAGCGGGCTGGAGGTGCTGCCTTCGGCACTAGCCAGGATATCCACATCCCCTCCCTGCGGTACCTGGGACAGGGCAGGTTATTCTGGCAGTGCAAAACCTGGATTTTGAGGTAACTCTGAGCTCAGCATCTCCATGCCAGAGAGCAGAGGCAGCTGAGGAGGGGCAGGGGTCTTCAGAGGAAGAAGTGACAGCCCCTAGCCCTGTGCTGATGCTGTGCAACCAGTTTCCCCTGGGGGATGCTATTTCTGTCTCGCGCTGTCTCTGTGGCCTGGGAGGTGCCGCTCCTCGGCTCACCAGCCAGCGTGGCAGGGCTGGCAGTGCAGGGACATGCAGCTAGGACCCGAGGTTTTGCTGCTGGCTCTGTCTCAAGGACTGCTGGAGCAGGGCACTGAGCTGTGCGTGTCCTGTGAGGGATGGCAATGACATGGAGTCCAGCCCTTAGGGTTGGACTTAGTGGACCCTTAGTCACTGCCCTTAGGGTTAGTCACCCCCACCCCCCCCCCCGCCCCCCAATCCTCCCGGCCACGGAGATGTAGGGCTCAGCAGGGGTTCCCCACCCCTGAGCTCTGGCTGGGGGGGTTCAGCCCTTCTCCGCGCAGTCCAGCTGGGTGTGGGGAAGATCCCCACGGGCGTTGCTGGACCCTGACGCTTGGCTGTGATGCGAGGTGTGCTTAGCTCTATCCAGCATCGTGCAAGCTCAGAGTTGCACGCAGCGGCCTGCCTTCATAAAGCGCTTATCTCATCCCAAACCATATCCACATGCTGTCTCTGGGAGCTGCCTTCCCCTCCAGATGTGCTGAGCATGGCCCCCCCCGCCCCCGTTCTGCGAGCAGCTGTTCCTCCTCCCTGGCCCACCCTGTGGTCACCTCTGCTCTGTGTAAGCTGGGGCATGTTCCTATGCCCCGAGGTGTGTTTCTCTAGCTCTTAGGGAGGTTGATGTGTCCTAGCAGCCCTCGAGTCCCCAGATGAGGTTTAACCAGCTGCTGCTGCTGGCTCCGAAGGTGTCAGGGCAGAGGCAAAGCCTGTGCCCCAGGGAGCGAGGCTGGGGAGCACTGCAGCGTTTTGTGTCCGGTGACGCGATGCCCCTGGGGAAGCGCTGCAGGATAGGGGAGCAGGGAGGAGATGCACCTTTTGAGCAGTGCCTTTAGGCTGCTGTTGTGGCTCCTCACTGCCTGGGTCATGGCAGGTCCCAGCTGCACAGAGCCCAGCTGGTACTGGCCTTGGAGGAAAGAGCCAGGTTCCCTGGCAGGCTGGGACCCATGTTGGTGGTTTGCTCCCCTTGGGTGCTGGAGTCCTAAAATCTCCAGCCACCCCTGCTGCTCAGCTCTGCAGCACGCTTGCAACCCCTGTTGCTCAGACTCTGGGCTGGGTGGGAAGGGGCCTGGGGCTATGGGAGCCCCAGGGACAGGCTGGAAAGCTCCATTTCTTCCCCAGTCCCTAAGGACTGCCCTCACTCCCTACCCACCCGCACCCATCCTGCGCTGTCGGTGCAGAGCTGTGGGCGAGCTGCTCTCCAGGCAGCCCTCGGTCTCCTGCAGCCCTGGGAGCCTGGTGCTCCCAGGAAGGGCCTTGATTCACTGTTTTCTTGTTTTTTTTAGGGATGCCAGGGGGCAGTTTCGCCTGGCAGGAGTGCCTGGGCAGAGCTCTCCAGCGTGCCTTGTTCAGAGGTGCAGACGTGTTCGCATGGGTGGTGATGGCCTCCAGGCACCGAGCTCTGCGCCCGCGCTGGCTGCGTGTGTCTCTGGCTCGGGCGAACCCAGGCGCCAGGGAAGGGAGGCCTCTGCGGCTCCCTCCCTGTAAGGGCTGGGGAGGCTCCTCCGCGCGGGCCTGCCCTGCACGCGACTGCCAAGGGCGACACAGCGTGAGTCAGAGCCGCAGGAACAGGCCTGCTGCGCGGCTCTGTTGTGCTGCTCTGTTTCTGCCCGCGCCACCCCGGCGGAGG